TGCAACATAATTACAGATATTTCTAAGAGAAGATCGAGTAGTTACCCCTTTTGATGGATCACCTATAATTTCACCATCCTTGACATAGTTGTACTCTCTTGGAAAAGATACTTCCCTTTCTTCAATGGTTGGATTCTCGAGGGGATCATGAGTTTCCTCATCTTTTGTTTCTTCATTTGATGATGATTCTCCAACGTCATGTCTAACGTCATTTGCTTGTACAATACCTACATCATCATTAACAGAAGAATCCTTCCTCGGAAGGGGATTATCATCGAAAACAACATGTATAGACTCTTCTACAACTAAAGTTCTTTTATTAAATACACGATAAGCTTTAGAATTTAAGGAATAACCCAGAAAAATTCCTTCATCACTTTTAGCATCAAATTTACCAAGATTTTTTTACCGTTGTTTAAAACAAAACATTTACATCCAAAAGGATGAAAATAGCTAATGTTAGGCTTTTATTTTTGAGAATTTCATATGGAGTTTTCTTTAAAATTGGCCTAATCATTACTCGATTTACAACATAACAAGCGGTATTTGTGGCTTCCGCCCAAAAATATTTTGGCAAATTATTTTCACAAAGCATGGTTCTAGCCATTTCTTCTAAAGTTCGATTTTCCTCTCAACAACTCCATTTGTTGAGGGGTTCTAGGTGCTGAAAAATTGTGGCTAATACCATTAGAATTACAAAACTCAATAAATCCAAGATTTTCAAATTCAGTTCCATGATCACTTCTAACACTAGTGATAGAGTAACCTTTTTCATTTTGGATTATTTTTGAAAATGTGATGAAATTTTCTAATGCTTCATCTTTAGTACTTAAGAATAGAACCCAAGTGTATCTAGAATAGTCATCTACCAAGACAAATGCATATTGTTTTCCTCCCAAGCTAGTAGTTCTAGTTGGCCCAAAAAGATCTAAATGGATCAATTGTAATACTCTACTAGTTGATACATCATTAATAGATTTAAAAGAAACTCGTTTTGTTTTCCTTTAGCACAAGCATCACAGATTTTATCATTATCAAATTTAAGCTTAGGCAACCCTCGAACTAAATCACCTTGAATTAGCCGTTGCAAAACACTCATACTAGCATGACCTAGTCTCCTATGCCATAACCAACTATCATGCTCATCCTTAGCAACTAGGCATAAATTAGTCATATCAATAGAATCTAAATGCACCATGTAAATGTTTCCTATTCTATGACCAACAAGCATAATCCGATTAGATGCAATGTCAATGACTTTACAACCATTAATTTCAAATAAGACATTGAATCCTTTATCGCATAATTGACTAATACTCAATAGATTATGCTTTAATCCATTCACATATAAAACATTCTTAATTTGTATGGAAGAGGTATTACCTATTGTACCAATACCTTCAATGTGACCTTTTGAATTGTCTCCAAAAGTCACTTCTCCTCCATTTTTGGCGTTAAGCTCAATGAACCGGCTTTTGTCTCCGGTCATATGTCTTGAGCATCCACTATCAAGGTACCATGAGTTTGAATTTGTTTCCCGTGCCTTGTAGCAATGCTCCTTTCCCTACAAACATAGATTAATTTTGATTTTTGGTACCCAAATTCTTTTGGGTCCATATTCATTAGTTTCCAAAATCCTAGTCCCTTTAGGTATCCATTTGTGTAGGATATTTTTATCTTTAGTAGTAATGAGTTCTTTAGGAACCCACATACTTCTAATGATTTTTCCATTAGAGGTTCTTTGGGGACCTCTATGATTGTAGTTTCTAAAACTTTTTCTAACAAAGTTGGATTTTGAATTTTCACCTTTTTCAAAATGTTTTGTTCCAACTTTATCAAAAGAAGTTTTAAGATCATCAATTTTCTTTTGATGATCATCATTGATCTTTGAAAGTAAGTTTTGCAAATCTAAATTTTTCTTTTCAAACTCTTCTAGTTTGATTTGCAAATTTTTGATTTTACTTTCAAGATCGTTGTTGGTTTTGGATATGAGTTTGTTTTCATTTTTCAATTTTGAAACATCATTTTTATATTTTAAAAATAATTTCTCATAATCCGAAGCCAACCCATTGTACTCCTCAAATAACTCATCATAAGATAAATCATCAAAATCGGATGAGTTAGAGGTTACCTTAGAATCTTCCCCGAATGCCATCAAGCACAAGTTTGCTACTTCTTGTTCCTCTTCATCGGAACCTTCTTCATCGCTCCATGTAGCCACATGAGCCTTGTGCTTATTCTTTGATTGACCCTTTTTCTTCAATTGTGGGCAATCATATTTGACATGCCCCGGCTTTTTGCATTCATAGCAAATAATTGGGTCCTTCTCTTTTGGTTCATTTTTGAGGCCTTCGTTTCGTTTGAATTTTCTTCCTTGGTAAGGTCTCATCATTTTTCTGAACCGTTTGGCAAACAATGCCATTTCCTCGTCATCATCATCATTAGAATCACTCTCATTTTGTGGATTTGAGAGCAACTCCAATGTTTTTCTTCTCCTTCTCCTTTGGTGTCTCTTCAACTTTATCAAGGTCCACCTCATCTTCAAGCATCATCTCATGAGTGAAGAGTGAACCGATAAGTTCTTCAAGAGTTAAGGACGATAGGTCCTTAGACTCGATGATTGCCGTCTTCTTTGATTGCCATGATTTTGGGAGGGAGTAGACTAACTTCCTCACAAGCTTTTCATTTGAGACGATCTCTCCATATGATTTGAGACCATTGACAATCGTTGAAAATCTATCCGTCATAGCTTTGATGTCTTCATTTGGTTTCATCCTGAAATTTTCATAGCTATGCGTTAGAATACTAATTTTTGATTTCTTTACCTCATCGGTACCTTCATGTGTGACTTGAAGCTTGTCCCATATTTCTTTGGCGGTTGTACACGATGAAACTCTTCCGTATTCATCTGGTCCAAGAGCACAAAAGATAATATGGATGGCTTTGGAGTTGAGCTGGAACATTTTAGTATCTCCTTCACTCCACAATCTTGGATGAGTGATAGGCTTAATGTATCCTTCTTCTACGGCATTCCATGCTCCCATGTCACTTGCTTGAATGAAGTACATCATTCTATTCTTCCAATAGGCATAGTTAGCTCCATTGAAGAAAGGAGGCTTGTTGACGGGCATCGAATCGAGACCGGAGTCGAAGTTTGAAGTGGAGGCCATTGATGACTTTGTAATCGATGTAACTCTTCCCGGATCGACTCAAGAGGCGATTAAACCTTCAAATGAGTTAGGCTCTGATGCCAATTGTTGAGTTAATCGAATGACGAAATTGGCCAAGAGGGGGGTGAATTGGCAATAAAAATTTTGTGGAAGCTTTTGCAGAAAATTGAAAATAATTGCACAGCGATTTATAGTGGTTCGACTTTCTCAAACAAAGTCTACGTCACTACCTTAGCTATCCACACTAAGGATTTTCCAACAAATTCACTAATTTGTTCTTTCTTTTGAGGCCAAAGAGATAACCTTACATTCCCTCAAGAGTATACCCCAACTCTTGAGAACACTCTTTTCTCAAAGAGAAGATTACAAATTTGCAAACTTACAAGAAAACCTCACAAGGTAAGATGTTTGCACAATTCTAGAACAAAGAAAAGAAACACTCAAAGATGAATACAATTGAGCAAAAAGTGTTCTTGAAAGCAAAATGAATATTGAATGAAAATGGGCTTTGAAATGCTCAAACTTGAGGTTTGATGCTTTCTCTTTGATTCTCTCTTGATTCTAGTTGCTTGATGTTTCTTATTATTGATCAATGGCTTCTAAGCTTGCTTAAATACACCTTGGATCACTTCTGAACGTTGGGGATAATTAGAGAAGAATTATAGCGTTTTAGTGTGAAAACATTTAATAAAACAGCTTGGACAGTGGGGGAATCGGTTCCCTCTCATAGGGAATCGGTTCCCTAAGTGTAAAATTCAAATATTTCGACCGTTGAACAGGGGGGAATCGGTACCCCCTTGGGGGGGAATCGGTTCCCTCCGAGCATTCTGGAAATCTCGGAGCCAAACCATTCAGGGGGGAATCGGTTCCTCCTATGGGGGGAATCGGTTCCCTCTGAGTAATCTGGAATTTTTGGCTTTGAATTGGTTCGAAATACTTTGTAAAATATTTTGAAATTGTTTTATGATTAAAACTTAATTTTACACTTTAAGTAAGGATCAAAAATGATTTTTGAAATATTTGGAGTAATGTTTTGATATTCGAATAGTTATATCGAATATACTTAGAAAATCATTTGGAAAATCTTAAAATCCATTTAACTTAATTTGTTATATCGAAATATTAAAATGTTTCAACAAAGTTATTTAAGTTAGTTTAAATTAGTAATTTAATATTAAAATTTGAGTTGATTTTAAATTTATTAATTTTAAAAATCAGAAAATTAGATTTAATCGTTTTAGAGTTTAATATATGATTTTTTTTAATTCATCTTTCATTTTAAATCCATTTTAAACAAGTTTGAAAGATATGTCCCTAAATCGATATAAAATACATATGTAACTTTAATTCCTCTTTTTAAAAATAGAGTTTTTTTTAATTAATCCTTCAATTTTGTATGATGTTTTTATTTTTATTTTCAATTCCTCATTCGGTTAACTCGATTTTTGACCAAATGCAAACCTCATACTCCACTACCACTATAAAATAATTATATAATTACAATTCTTATTTTTAGCAATAAATTTTTTTAATTGAGACCCTCAACTCTATATTTTATTCAAAACAATTATTCGACTACAATTTTTTGTAATTTATGAATCCTTTTTTCATGAAATCAAAGAGAATCCTGATGGAGCTGTTACATGTAAAATGCAACATCACATTAGCAATGTTGCAGGTCGATATTGATATTGAAAGAACCCATAGCTACTACAGGAAACCGAACAGAAAGACGGGTAAATAGTTAGCGGCCGGTGGATATGGATTTGCAGTTGCACGAAATCAAATCAGGCATGAGGATCTGGAAAAGTACAAACTAGGGGGAAGAATTGGGAGGAAGCTATTGTAATGTAATGCAATGTAATATTATGTCAAATAAATGATTGTGTGTATTACCATGGATCCATTCATTTGTGCTACATTTCTAAGCATTACACTTTTATTCTATTATGATTATTGATGCTAGTAACATTAAAAAAGCTCTCTTTACTAACACTGGAAACAAACCCAAAAACCAAAGAGAAAAGAAAAGAAAAGAGTTGAGCATGTGTCCAAGTCAGCAGGGAAAATCACTACACCGAAACTGATAGAAGAAGGCTCCAAGCTCAAGCTGTTGTAGAGCTCTCACTTCAACTTTTCCAAAGTACAACAAGGATAATAAGGAATTCAATTCAATCCTGTCACCTAACAAAATATGTCTATCAGATTCATCATTTGCTGTCAAGTTGTTGTTTGAATTACTCTAAAATACACTGACTTTAAGAACGATGAGTAAAATGCAAGACCCTTTCTTATTCATTACAAAAGCATCTACAGTATGTTGTGTTGTTCTTGAAGGTGTAGACCTCCATTACATATGTTATAATGTTAATATTCATTAGTTTACTTTAAGCGGCATAGATAAAGGAGAGGACCTATAGTTTCAGCGTAAATTCTCATAGCTAGATAGAAAAATTAGTTACCTTTATAACTGCTGTTTAGACCTTGTACTCGTTGACTCGCATCCATTTTGTAGATGACCATTTATTTCCTCTAATCACAGGGCATCCACCTGGATGACAATAGTAAATAAAAAATGAACCCAAAAAACGAATGAAGACGAAGATATTAACTTCTGATAAACAATTGATGCAAAAGAAATGCAAGGGACATGAATCTCAAAAATGAAAATGCTATTTTGAAATATAACTGAAGTTTGAATCACATGTCTCAGAGCTAGTCATTTAGTCAATTAGTAACTACAACTAACCATGCAGGCTTGAAGGATCTAGACTTGCATCAGGCTTCATGCTCCAGAAAAGTAATGCATCACCCATCTTTGGTTTGACAGAAAGTCCTCCTTTTCCGCATTCAGATAATTCATTCCACCAAGGCACAGCACTGACATTACCCTTTGCAGCAGGAAACACTGTCTCTCCCCCTTCTTCAACATCTGAGCTGTAAATAGATAAAAATAAGCCAGAAATAAGAAAGGTCAACTTTCTTGTAATACATTACCTATAATGCATTAGAATAAGAAATACAGGAAAAATCTATGAAGTCGCATACAGGTACATAAGGACCGTAGCTATACGTTGGCCCCCATTCTGGGTATTGAACTCATCCATGAAGTAGTCATAGTGAGGCTCATATTTTTGGCCAACTTCATAGTGAAGAACTTGAAGTCCTTCCCCATGCTCTGCATATGATTTTGTTGACATGAGTAACTTTATACATAGAGAATTAAAAACCAGAAACTAGCTCAAAGAAGACTTTAAGAAATAATAAATAATCTGGATTGATCCAGAAAATAGCACACACCTACTGGAATGAAGGTATAATCTGCAATCCTTTTCTCAATGTTCCTAATAATTTTATCACGTCCTCTAGGCAGAAATGTGCCAGAACTTGTACGTACTCTATATGTAAACACCAAGGGTCGGATGAAATCAAATAGTTACGAAAGATACAGTGGAAAACTCATGTAACAATAACACTAATAATTACATACCTGCTATCTTTGCTCTTGCCAGTTTCACTATCGACAACTGTCGATTTTTCCATGTGAGGCTTGGCAAGGTCAATTAGGTATTCACATTCCTCCTTGGACTGCCAAAGTATTAAATAAAGACCTTGATCAGGTTAGAATCTTTCTAATCTAACAAAGAATTAGCTTCCTGCTAGTTCAGAAATTCGTTTTCATAATAGAAGCTGCTAAAAAAAGATAAATGGACATAAATTCATTATCATTCTAGTATCTGATTTTCATTTTCTTCCCTTTTATTTAATCCTCATGAACGATTCCATAAACTTTTGAAAAAAAATCATATTATATTTTATGGATCCGCGAAATAACTAATAATATATTAGGATATACTTCATAATTTTTTATAAGATTGATTTAAAAAAAATGCTCGTTTAACTAATAATTTCAATTGCAAAAACGTATTCGACTACAAAAGAATAAAACTTACCAAGAAATTATGATAGATAAAAGCTCTAGGCTCCCAGGAGATGACTTCAACCCATTGTTCTCCTACACCTTCATCATAATCGTTTCTTCCGATACCAAAAACGAACACAAATTTACAAGCAGGACAATTACCAGATTGCCATCATAAAATTGAACCAAAATATTTCGAAGCAAAAAAGAAGAAAAAACTCACTTGTCAACAACGTTATGAGCAATCGTGCTCAAATCGTTGGGTTTATGCGAACTGCCGGGATTACTGCTTGGAATTGAAAGGATTCCCAGCGCCAAAAGGATCAAAACCAGGAAGGTGAACATAATCAGCGCCGTTAGAAACATGGTTGAAGATGACGATTTCCGGCCGGGAACGCGCGAATGTCTCGGCTTCGCCATTGTTTCTCAAACTCAGGAGATCGAGATCTGGAACTTCCTCAACTCAGAGTTTGAACGAGAGACTCAGTTAAGAGAGACCAGTCTGTCTTTTTTTTTATTGCTTTTTTTTATAGAAATTTTGGTTTCTTTTATTTGATTTATGCTCTATTTGTGATTTCGTCGAGTGCCAAAGTTCTTTGAAAATGAACTTGTACTTGTATTGTTCTTTAATTGCACTTGGACAGCCTCTCGGTTTTTGCACTTTATACTTTTCTTATTTATGAAAATATTCCTATATATATACACATAGATTAAAGATTAAAATATGCTAGCAGTTCCTACACTTTAACAAAGTTCATTTTTATAAAATATTTAAGATATTTAATTTAATCGTTGATCCTATTACTATCTTCATCAAATTTTCAGGACTGACATGTTTTTTTGATAATAAATGTAAATAAGATCAATGAACTAGGGTTTTTAACTCGAAAAAATATGAAAACTTAATTTTTAAGTTTTTAGACGTAAGGATTAAATCTCAAACTTTGTTTAAGTTTAGGGACTGAAAATAGATTTTAACCTAAACTAAATAACAGCCCACTACAGGCAATGTGAAGCAGAGCATTGAATGGGTTGTGATTAGTCGTGAATTAGATAAAACCCAAAAAAGTCAACCATAATTATATTATATGACTCTCAAGTTTGATTTTGGGTAAAGTTCATATACGACCACTAAACTATCTTAAAATGCTCTTTTGACACTAAACGTTTACAAATTATAAAATGAGTGTTAAACTTTAGATTTAATTAGTCATTGATTTTAATGTGTCATGTAATCTTCTTAACAACTAACGGAGCAGTGTCCATTTTATAACAAAATTCAAAATATAATGTTTATTTTATAACTTTTAAATTAGTATTTAAAAATATCATTTTAAGATAACTTAGTGATCATTTTTTAGTTTTACCATTTGATTTTTGATATTATATTAATAGTGGAAAAGTGGTGCTAAAATGAGTGTAAATGTGTGATACCAACAAATAATAATTTTGTGTTGTTATGGTTAGATTAGTAATAAATAGACATTTAAGACTAAATAAATGATGTAACGTGATGGAGGGCTAGATGGAATAATGCATAAATATAGTACGTCTTAAATATAGAAACAAATCATTCATAAAATAAAATCATTTACAAAATAAATTATAAATTTGTAAAATACAAAATAAATTCTTATAACTCTTTGATTATAAAAACAAATCATTTACAAAGAGTAATTAATTGTAAAATTGTTTGAAAATTCTACCTTTTTTTTCTCTTCAATGCTTTCGAATATTACTGACTTGAATAATTTTGTGTGATAGTTATTAGGGTAGACTATGCGTTTAGTACCTAAACTATCAGTTTTGGTAGGGTAGACTATGCGTTTAGTACCTAAACTATCAGTTTTGGTCCGTTTTAGTACTTAAATTTTTATTTTTTTTTAAAACCATAGCTAGCGTTTAGCTTTTGTTTCATTTTAGTAACTCGTCGTTAAAAATTTAACGGACTGACTCTTCGATCATCGCATCTACAGTCGTCAACTGTCACATCCGTCGGCCGATAAGTCCAAACTTTCCAGCATGCACATATTTACCCCCCCTAAACGTGATTCTGTCTCTGTTTCATTGGGAAACGTCTCAATCTCTCCAAATCGACGATGAACTCTTCGATTTCTTCATCCTTCGATCTCCATGGTCCATCGTCCAATGAGCCTGAAACTGGACTATATTGGTCGACTCCTCATTTTCTTGTGATCTACTTTTCAGATTGGTCGTATGTCTACCGAAGCTATGTCACATCAGTCCGTCCGTTAAGTTTTTAACAACAAGGTATTAAAATTAAACAATAACTAAACGTTAGGTATGATTTAAAAAAATAAAAGTTTGGGTACTAAAACGAACTAAAATTAATAATTTAAGTACTAAACGCGTAATTTACTCTAGTTATTATCTATTTATTCATTTCACAAGTATGGGATTGGGTATAACGGATATTGTTTATTAACATATTTAATTGAATTAAAAACATAATTTTAAATTTGGGTTGTTTTAAAATATTATGAGAATATATTTTTTTAATTAATCACTGATATTTGATATATTGATCGACTAATCCAGATCGGATATTGTAAAGGCGAGGGCGACCCTCCCAACTCAATTTGCTCCATTTACAAACGTCATGATTTAAACTCTTGACATTGTTTAACGAATCTAATAAATCATCTCAATAGACCAATGAGTTATTGGTAATTTTATATTGTATAATTTTATACAACATTAATGAGTTAGATGAGATATATCGTAAAAAGTAAAGTTAATTTTATAATTTTATAAAGAAGTTGCATCAACTGATTTACTTACTGTATATAAAATTATAAACTATCATTATATGAAATGTTAATCCTTTAATTAATTAAAAATTTATTACTAGATAAATGTTGCAACTTTTTTGTTTTATTTGTTTTGTCTTTCATCTTGTTTATATTTTGTATATAAGTTATAAATAAAAATTAATTTAAGAAAAACATTTTTATAATATCTTTGAAATAATTCAATTTAGAGAAAATATATGTTTGTGATGTGTGTGTTTGTTTTGGAAAAGTGTGTTTGTATTGTATAGAGTATACAAATATGAAATTAGACAAAAATAAAGAGTCTCATTGAAAAATAACATCCCTAAATCTAAGTGAAAGATAAATAATACACCAAATCAATGTCAGAACATAAAGAGCTCGATGAAACCACACTTGCACAAAAGTTAAACAAACCAAAAGAATTATTCAATTTCATTTATTGTGAATTGGATAACTTTTTTTTTAAAATTTATAAAATCTATTTTCGATAATTGTTATGTCTTTGTATACTTTTAAGAATATATTTTGAGGGCTGATTTAGTGGGATAACGCGGTGAGAAAAAATAATTCTTCGGATAATGTTGTGGAGAGATTATTTGTTCAAATGTGGTGATTGTTACAGTCTCTCCCAGAGACACATTATCCTCTTAGAGTCCAAGCTCTGCCCAACGGTGACACATTTTTGTCCATACGTTTATGGGGCAAAGTCACATCGCAAGCCATGCCCAGACTCCCCTCGGAGACGCCGTGCCTTTCAGGCATCTCCCACCCAAAAACCCCTCGAAGATGCCGTGCCTTCCAGGTGTCTCCCACATGGCGTCTCTCCCTGCACACTCTGCATGGCCCATGCACCAATCACGTAGGTGCAGGATAAGAGCTGGCATTCGAGCTGGTAGCTGATATTTGAGTGATAAAAGCTTAACAAATATCTCTATCCTAACCCATGCCCTGTAATAACAAGTTGAACATAAAAAAAGAACTTCTTTTAGCTATATATATACATGTAAGAATGATCTCGGGAGTGATCATCTAAAGCTAAAGATAGGAGCAACAATTGCAATTGATAGAGGGAACATTTTAGATAGTTTGGTGTTTTTTTTCTTTCGTTATTCTAATTTGATTAAGTATTATATGATGAATTGGTTTAAATTTCTGTTATTTTGTCTGAAAGTAGTCCAATAGTTTATTAATTTTTTTGCAGAAAAAACGGTGAATTTAGTTTGAAGAAATTTTATTTGATGTATTTTATTATTGATTATTATGTTAATATTAATTTTATAAATAGTTGTTAAATTTTCTATTGTTGTTATTTTAATATTATTTTTTATTGTATAATATCATTTTTACGATTTATGATCATAGTGTATCATAATTTTTTTTATTCTAAATACAAATTTTGAATTTGTAGAGAAAAAGAGCAACAATTTTTTTCACGATTGTCCATTATAATGAACATATTATGGAAAATGAGGTCAGAGTTGTTTTTTCATTCTGAAAGACCTATAAATATTATGTTCAAAACGAACATCACATTTGTAGAAATGAAGCAGATGATAGAAAGGAAAATTCGAGCTACATTTGATGTTTGAAGTACATGTTTATGGTATGTCCCAATCCAGTTAGATATGCCGCAGTACGAGTCAAAGAATATGATGATATTGGAACCATGATTAGATTACATGAGTCGACAAATATTGTAGTTATTGAGTTATTTGTTGATGTACGTAAGATATCTGATGTTCCTATGTCATCAAGAAATATGGGTGAAAATTCATCTCAAATGGCTTTCAAAAGTGAGTTTGAAGACTCGATATACAGATCAATAAACAATTTTATGGCGCTATTGGAAAGTGGAAATGAAGTCGGTGTGTAACATCCGCAACAACAGAGAATAAGGAGAGAAACATATATCATTTAGAATTGATTGTTGATATTGATGCTGAAAATTGATGCGGAGAAATCCATGATGATTCCAACGAAGATGAAGAAATTATGGAACCCGTTTTGGCCGACGATGATAATTTTTACTGTGGTGGTGCACCTAACCTGGCTACTGATGAAGTTCTGACATCGTATCAACCTACCCCTCACATGTACGAGATAGATTATGATGGGATGAGGCACCAAAATTCCCATATATGCCACATATACCTCCATACCATATGGTTGAATCATTTGAAAATTCTTGTGAATTTTCGGTTGGGATGCAATTTAGAGGAAAAAATAAAGCTTTGTTGGAGATCAAAGAGTATTGTATCAAAGGCCATGTTGATGTCCATGTTGCAGAGTCCAACCAAAAAAACCATATATTCGAAGTGTGTTAAATATGACCCAGAGTGCAAATGAAAGATCAGAGTGTCCAAAATTCAGAGGCACGATGCTTGAGTCATAACAAGGTACAATGGTCCTTACACATTTTTCAAAACTCAATCGAACAATACCACTGAATATTGGAGTTTAATATAATATGCGAATACGTGAAGGTGTTGGTTAAAAAGAATCCAATGATCCCTTGTTCAGTGCTAGCTGTATCTTTTGAAGCCAATTTGGATACCAAGTAAAATACGACAAGGTTTGGAATGCGAAAATGAAGGCAATGAAGCTAACATATGGAAATTGAGATACATCGTACAATGAGCTACAACATTTGTTACAAGCAATGAAGTGATTCATCTCGGGAAGCATAGTAAAGTCTCAAACCATGTCTGCATATGATGAAGAAGGTCAACTTGTTCCAGGGAAGAAAATAT